TGTTTTGATTTCATTCCATTTGGGAATGTTAATAATGTTTGATTCTGCTCCTGAATCAATTAAAAAATCAATTTCAAGATCTGGTGGTTGAAATTCTTTGTTTCTTGGACTTTCTAAGAGAAATGGTATTGTCCAAATTTTTTCTCTGGGTTGTTCTTTTTGTATATTTTGGTAAATATGATTTGTGTTTAGACATTTTGTTTTGTCATTTTCATTGGGTTTGTTTACCGTGTTAATTTTGTTTTTTTTCCTGTGCAGTTTGTGTAGTATTGATGGGTTCAATATAATAATTGTGAAGGAGTTCCAATTGATTTTCATATATATGTGATGTAAAACGTTGTTCATATATAATAGGTTCGTAGTCGTTTTCGACTGCTATCATATTGATGGAAATGGTATTTTCTGTATCACTTTCTGTGTCTGATGATCCACAGTTTATTTGATTTAGTTGTAGTTCGTTATTTCCTGTGTCATCAATACCTGGGGGGTCTGATGTTGTTTCTTCATTTGACTGTACTTGATTAATATGTCTTTGATGTTTTGGTGTACTACTTCTGTATCGATGTTTAGATTTATTATAATGGTTATTATTCCTATGTGGTGATTGCGAATAATTTCTATATTGATTATTATAACTTGAATTTCGGTTTTGTGAATTATTCCGTGATCTGTTTTGATAATTGTTGTTTGGTCTGTGATAGTTTGATCTGTTATATGAGTTATTTCTTGATCGATTGTTCGGGTAATTCTGATTTCGATTGTTCGAATAACTTCTATTTCGATTATGTGAATAGTTTCTACTTCTGTTATATGATGAGTTTCGTGATTGACTATTTGAATAGTGTTTATTTCTTGGGTTTGTTTGGGAATTGGATCTAGAAACAAATTGTGTTGTGTTTGAATTTGATCTCGAATAGTTCTTTCGACTATTTAATCGATTATAATGATTTTGTGAAGAATTCTGTGTATTTCTTCGTTCTGGTGATCTTCCTCTATAACTTGAGTTATATGGTGATTGATTCCTTGTGTATTTAGTGTTGTTCGGAAGTGGTTTTCCTGAACTGTTGTTGTTGTATACATTCTTGTTTGGTAGATTTTGATCTTTCTTCATATATTGATAGAATGACTTATTTGGTTCTTTATACTTTTGAGGTTTGTTTTGGTTATCTTGTTGCTTTTGTCTACATTCGGAAATACTATGTCCGTATCGTCGGCAATAATTACACCATTTTTTGAAAGATGGTTTGCCTTTAAAATTTGGGTGTTTTTCATAAATATTTAGTATTTCAGTTATTTTTTCAACTAGGTCTGTATCTGATTCCTGTATGTTATTGATATGTGTAGTGTTTGTTTCAGTTCGATTAACATATTGTAGTTTTAGATTTTCTGTTTCTTCAAGTTTCATTGTGATTTCCGCTTGTTCTAATTTATCTACTAGTTTTCGAAAATCTAAATCGGGCTCTCGAATTGAAGAAGGATGAGATGCTCTCTTTTTTTTGCTATTTTCCTTAATTGAGGTGTTAAGGTCATCATTAAAATTTCTGTCATTTTTGTGTTTTTATAGTCATGTGTATTTAATGAATATGCTTTTCGAACTAGTGTTTCGATACGTACTGCTAATTGTTTGATGGTTTCATTTGGTAATCTGCGAACTTCATTACATAAAACTCTTTGGTGTTGTTTATTTCTTTCTGAGTCAAACATTTTTGAAAATTCTTGTGTAAATCTTTTCCAGTCTGATTTTATTTCTATAGGTAATACTGAAAACCATTTTTGGGCTGCACCGTCTAGGGTTGTCTGTATCAACGCTGTGCGTCGATGTATCCAATTTTGATGTAGTGGCGTATTAATTGGTTCAGGTCCTATATTTAAAATTAAATTTGCTGTTACTGCATTTAAATAATCTTCTACAGAATATTCAGGGTCTGTTCCTGTGAATACCATTAATGGTTTGTTTGATGTTATTGATGATCCACCCATAAGGTATGGATTCATTGTCATCTGTAGTGATTCTGCGGCATTTGGCATTTGTGAAAAATTTGAAAGCTGATTTTTTGTTATTTCGTGTTGTTGAAGGTAATATGGGATTGGTATTTCATTTTGCATTTGAGTTGGTTGATATGAGTGCATAATCATTAGATTTTGTGGTTGAATTGGTTGAAAAGATTGTTTATTAGTTGGATTTTGCATTTGTATTGGTTGTTGATTTTGTGTATCTGTTGGATTTGGAGAAAAAATTCTATTATATGTATAAGGTTTTTGCGCTCCTTGTCCGCGATATTCTTGGGTATACGGTGCAAAAATATCTGGTTGTAAATAATTATCATCAGATGATAAGTAATCCGTACGATGAGGTGCTTGCTTTTTATTTTTATTTTGTTGAAAGAATGGGTAATTTTCACTACGATCCTGTGGATGATGTGAATTAGTTCGAAAATTTACTGAGTTGGTTTTTGTCATTGGGTTATCCCAATAGTGAGATCATACATGATTTTTATTAGTTTTTCGTGGGGGATATTTTGTTTTTAATGAATGTGCATAATTATAATTGTGTTCTGCAAAAGTGCTTCTTGTGAACGTTCTTCGTGGTTTTGATGGTACTATCATAGGTCTATATGTTTGATAATCCATTTGTGAATATTTTGGACCAACCGAAGGTTTAACGGTTGATTGTAAGGTTACTTGTGCCAATGAAGTATTTGTATTTTTTGGTGTTGTTAAATTTGGATGTATTGGTGAAATACTTTGTAGTGTAGTTGTTGTTGTTTGGACAATTTCTTCATTTATGAAGTGTGATGGTGTTTAGATATCTTGTTGTGTAAGATTTCTAGTTCCATTAAGGTTTTCATTGTGTATAACGGTCGAATTTAAACTGTTATTTTGCGTATCGGGTAAAAATGTATTGTAGTTTAATGGTGTTGCATCAATGGTTAGTGGTACTACTTTCACATAATCTCTTTGGTAAGATATTGTACTTATTGCTTGACTTGAGATTGATTGTGGGATATTTATAAATGAATGATGAGAACATTCAGGGTCCCAAACGTAGTCTGACTGTTCTGTAATGGCAGTATCATCATTTGGATTTTGAGGTCTGAAATTTTTTCTTGCTTGTGAAATTAAGTCTATATTATGTGTGAAATAATCTATTATAAACCATGCCAAAATTTTTTGTAAGTCATGTTTTGTGTGTTGTGAAACCTCGTCTTTAGTGAAATTTTCTTTGATTAAATGTAGAAAAGTTGAAAATAATGTGATTTCATGTCATACTTTTGTATTATTGGATGTTTCGGTTGGTGAGGTACTTTGAAATTCTGTTTTTTCTAATATAGAAATATAGGTATATATTATTGCAAAAACTTCGTTAGTGAATATGGAGTTTGCTCTTTGTGAATTATGATATTGTATGCTTTTAATATATTCTAAGAATACTTTTGAAAATTCTAATTCACGATCGTCTGTCTGAATTACATATTTTCGATGATTCGGATTTGGTGTGCTGAATTCTATGGTATAGATTCTATATTGTTGTGTCAAATTACATATATCTTTCAGATAATGTTCAATAATTTGTCTTTTGATTTTTACATCTGGGAATTCTGCTTTGCATGGGCTAATTCCGGGTTCAAACAAATTTACAAGTAAATTCTTGCAAAAATCATGTTGCCCTCTATTATCGGGTGCATCTATGAGGAAGGGGTAAACCTCTTCGTCATCTGGACTATCGTCACTTTGAGTGTGGCTGTGGCTCATTTTTTTGTTTAATGACTGTTAATATATAACTACCGATGTGTCTAATTGGTTGATTCCAATTATACAAGTGTACTGGTTTGTGTTTATATTGCTTTTTTATTCTTCTTTTTCCTCTTTTTGATGAATTTGAAGTTGTTCTGAGTCGGAAAAATATAATTGATCGTGAATGGGACAATTTTTATCAATCGATTCTTTTAATTTATAGAGTTCATCTAAATTGCTGGCTTCTGATTCTGAAAATGCGTTTCTATTTTTTGAAAATCTTTTTCGTGTGATTTGTCTTTGATTGTTTATTATTTTTCTTTTTATTGTTAGTCGTTTTGTTCTAATATATCCAACTGTTTGTGTATGAGGTGTGATTACAAGATCGTATTTTTTTCCAGACGCGCCTATAACCATTTTTAAAATCATCTGGGTCCCGGCAAAATTTTGGCCCATGTCACATGCATTTGTTTTTTTTTTGGTCGCGCTTGTCTGGTGTTCGCAACTTTCGGTCGGGTCGGTGGTAACGTCTTTTTGAGTCGCGCTTGAAATTTTGGTCGCTTGGATCTGGAGTCAGCGAGATTTAATAGTACCTGTCTGGAATCGCGGTGGTCTTAGATTAAGCCGGACATCAACACGGGTTTTAATAGTTGACACTGTTTTACTCTGAAAAGCAGAAAACATCTAATAGAAATATTCTTTTGTCGATAGACCAAGTTTTATCAAAAAGTATGCCAAACTCTAGCATGTTTCATTAACTATACACTCATCACAGTACAGAGAAGATGCATTGTTGTTTTCAACCGATGAAAAAGAACATTTTTTTTGCATTATGCAGTTTTTTTGAATTTTATTTTGAAATTCTTGGCTGAAATTGTGACTCATGATGAAAAAAATTATTCTAAAGTATCCATCCAGAACAAAACAGAAAAAAGTCCATTTGATGGGTTAGAAACTAAACGTCGCAATTCTGTGCCCCGCGATTAGAGTAAACCTTGATTTTTATCCTTTTTGCAAAAAGGATGTTCAAAATGTGAGTTTCTAAGCCATAGCTTTCTTTATACAGTGTGCTGCTTTCTGCGTGATAGAGATACAAAATGGTTTGAAAATGTCGCAATTTTACATATCAAGTGAAATGGTATTATTTATCTGATAGAAAACCCCGCACAATTCACGTTCATTTGCTGTAGCAGTGCATATATTATACATGTACTCATGACGGCATATTACAACAGAGCTATTTATAGCCAGTTCTTAAAGCTATGCACGCTCATATTTGGCAACAACAACATATAGTTAATCTATCTTACCATTTACCATGCAATAGAAAGGGTATAAAGTACGGTTTTGTTTTCATCAAATTTCAAACATTGTAATATATGTTCAGACTTCATGCTTACTAAGAAACTGTTTTTTGCCATAACGTCATTTTTGCTTATCGTCGATTGACGCAGACATACACTTCGGATCTGGCTGAAATCTGATTAGCTATCTTCTTTCAAACCAACAACGGTAAGTGGATACAAAAAAAATAGTCGTCCTCAGCAAAAATTAAGTTGAGGTTGCGCTCAAAGAAAAAGTCAGCGCTAAATCAGCGTGAATGCATCAATTTTGGCATCGATGAATCAGGCTCTTATCTGTGCAGTTAAACGCTGGTCAGTTATTGTTCCGACATTCGTAACGAAGTAACGGAATATTTGTGCTCGGGTGGGTTTTTTTTCTTCAGACAAATTTCGACTTTTTAGCTAGCCATTTTTGACAGAACTTTTTTTTATATCATTCGAAAGATATTCTTGGTTTGAATTTAAAAAAGGAAAAGATATTTCACCTGTGATCTTTTTTTGCAAAGTTATGGGGGTTTAAAGATAGCTAATTTGGCCAATTTTGGACAATAAACGCGCGATATGTTTAGCACTCTTAACGCGTAAGCGGAGATTTAATCCGTCTTAGAAATCGTTTCGAGTTGATGTTTGAAAGAAGCTTATTTGCCATAATTGGTTTGTTACAAGGAGCGACATCTATTTTTTTGCACTTCATATGGCGTGTTGGTGGATGATTTTCACGAAAACCTCAATTTTAAAAAAAGCATTTCAATTTATTACGTTTAATTTGTTTCTCAATAGACTTTTAAATGCAGTCGGAACATTCAGGGCTTCGCCCTGATACGAGCAGAGTCTTGTTCAGTATTGTATTTCCTAAATACTTATTTTTACCACAACATGCATAATAATACATCACAAAAATTATCGACGAATCAGCGATGCAAAACACGAAGATTCGGTGCTAATTCAGCGCTCTTTTATACCACTAAATTAATGATAAACTAACCGTGTTTTTGTTGGTTAAAGTATGCTCAGTTTGCTCAATGCAATACTGAATTCTCATTCCAATTCTGAAGACAAAAATACTCGATAAAGAATTATTGCTTAATTAAATTTGAGCAACCTTAGTTTATCGAGAATTTCGGTATTCAGAATTGCATTGAGAATTCACTATTGCATTCAGCAACAACCACTTTGGAACGTTTGTTCACGGCCAAACTTTTATTTCAAAGCTGGATACTTTTGAAATTGTAGCTATAAAGAGCTCACGCCGCGTTAGAAAAAGTGTATTTTTTAGGAATATTTTGAGCAAGTTTGTTGCAGTTCCGGGGTCAAGGTAGGCGACTAATTTTTCGATATTGTCGGTCGCGGAATCGTTAATTCCGCAACCGAAAATCCATTGTTTGGACAGAGTTTTAGGTCGCGGTAAAAATTAAAAATACCGTAATCTCGGTCGGGATGGTCGAAAAATTAGTCGCACACTGAGTCTTGAAATAGCGTATATCGGTTGCGATGGTCAAAAAGTTAGTCATTTTAGTCAAAAAATTAGTCGCGGCAGGGTCGAAAAATTAGTCGCGGTGGTCGAAAAATTAGTTGCGGTGGTCGATAAATTAGTCGCGGCATGGTCGAAAAATTAGTCGCAATGGTTTAGTCGCTGTGTCGAGGTTTGCGATTTATGTTTCGAGTGCGGCGGGTCGAACATGTCAGAGTTTGACTGAAAATCCTATAGTCGAACTCAAAGTCGAAACATAATATCAAGTCGGTCGAAACATAAAATCAAGCACAAATCTGAAACATAAAATCAAAAACAAAGTGGAAACAGAAAGTCAAAGACTACGCGAAACATAAAGTCGATTTGGTCGAAATATAAAATCAAACACAACTTAACATTACAGTCAAGCTCGCAGTCGAAATATAAAGTCGAACCGGTCGAAGCACAGTCGAAAATAAACAAAATTTTAACAAAAAGTTGATTTTCTTGTTGGATTTTTTCTAAATAAAAAACAACGTGAGATAACGAAACTGCACTGTGATAGAACAAAAGTGTTGGTCCGCTTTGTAATTAAAAATAAATTAAAACTATGGTTTCTGCAAATCGCAGAGGATCTATGAAAGACCTTGCAGCCTGTCTAAGCATATTCCGTTTCTCTCCTTTCCCCACATTCCAGAGTTTTTTAGTTGAGCGAATCTCACTTTTTAGAGTAGTGAACGTAGTGAAGACTCTTATAGATGTCTCGGTTATTCTGATTTTTTTTCAGGAAAAAGTTTAAACTCTCTACAGATGAGCATTCATACTGTTTCCACCTGTGTTCGGTCTGTGGTGGGTCGGTCGAGTATATCGTCGGTCTGTAGATTGGCTGTATGTATCTCGATTGAGAACACGATTGTTCAATATATATTTATTTTTCCTATAATAATTATCGAAAATCTTTAAGAGGAAACAACGGAATAATATCAGTTTCGGAACAAAATTATCAAGTTTTAAACGAAATCGAAATCGAAAGCGACTTTATTGTCACCTCTTTTGCCAATAAATGGGGATTTTCACGCTTGCCAGAAGTTAGAAGTCAATTCTGGCCAAAGTCTAATTAAGTTCATGTCCAGAACATCATTTAAAAACAAGTTTGACTTAGGAACATTTTTTATCTGGTTCAAATCCAGTGTATTCCAAGTTTTTTAGTAGTAAAATACTTGGAATGACCGGGATTCGAACCAGCGACCTTTCGGTTTCAGGTCAAGTACGTTACCGCTAGACTAGCTGGTCTTGATATGCTTTCATTTTAGTTTCAATCTTGAACATCCTCGGGCCCCAACGGAGCGAGAACTGGGGCGAGTTTAACAAGAGGTCGGGTTAAATCTCCTGTTGCGGTTTTAAGGAGTGCGGAACGGGCGATAGCGTCTTTGCCATAGTTAAGCGTTTTAACGCGAGCGAGAGGGTAGTAACCACGCGGGCTACTATCCTCGACGATTCAAACAAGATCTCCGGCTTTGAGTTCTTGTTCGGTAGGTGTGTGCCATTTACGGCGTTTGTTGAGAGTCGGAACGTACTCGCGTAGCCATCTAGTCCAGATGGCGTTAGGGTATCCTTGTGCGCGAAGATAACGCTTTCGATGATCGAAATGTTCGTCCGTCGCAATCGACGGGAAACTAACTGAGCGCTGGCCTATCAAGAAGTGATTTGGCGTTAAAGCCTCAATCTCATTCGGGTCACTGCTTACCGCTGTAAGTGGACGCGCATTGAGGGACTGTTCCACCAGACAAAATGTGGTCTGGAGTACCTCGTCGGTTAATTTACCGGGTGTGAGGATGGAGTAGAAAACTCTCTTGCAACTACGTACAAGACGTTCCCAAGAGCCACCATGATGTGGTGAAGATGGTGGGTTATACTTCCATTCGATGCCTTTGTGGACAAGGAGAGCGGGCGCAAGATCATTCCATGCTCGAGTACACAGAAGAAGCTCTTTCTCTGCACCGACAAAGTTTGTACCATTATCGGAGCAAATTTTCGATGGAATTCCTCGTCTAGCGATGAATCGTTCTACTCCCATGACACAGGAGCTTGAATCCATTGATGGTACGACTTCAATATGGATGGCTCTAGTGGTCAAACAAGTGAACAAAAACGCCCAACGTTTCTCCGAACTCCTACGGATTGTTACGTGAAAGGGTCCGAAGTAATCGACTCCGCAATTGTTGAAGGGCGCTTGGCGGTATCCAAGACGCTCAATTGGCAGATCAAACATGAAAGGGGTGATGGTTTTCAACTTTCGCTTTCGGCAGTTTTTACAATTAAGCTCAATGTTACGGAGCAATGATCTTAATTTTAAGATTGCATATTCTATCTGGATGACAGATCGTAGGTAGTCAATTGACTGATGCTCATGCTTGTTGTGTTGATGAGCCACAAACAGTTTGACTAATGGATGACGGCCATCAAGTATGATGGGATATTTATTTTTAAATTCGAGTTCAGAGAGACGACTAATGCGTCCTATGGATCTAAGAAGTCCATCGGGGTCAATGAATGGGGAGAGAGTTGCAATAGGGCTTACATTCTTAACATATTTCTCACAACTCAATAATTTGAACTCTGAGGGGAACGCTTCTTTTTGAGAAAGAAGAAACAACGTTCGTTGAGAATTATCTATCTCAGACGGTTTAACGATAATAGCGATTGTTCCACGGAAATGATTAAATTTAGGATTTAATCGGAGGATGAATGCTACTACGCGCAACTATTTGAGAAACGAGCTGTAACGTTTCCACTTAATGACGGGTTCAGGGACTGACGGATTGATTACAAAATTAGTGGCAGTATCGATGACATCATCGATAGGACCTTTTAATTTTCTTTTTGTAATCACATCGACATTTGGTCGAAAAGGCCAATCACTGGTTCTGAGGAAGCTGGGACCTTGAGTCCAGCTGCTGTCTTTCAAGGCTTCAGCGGCAATACATCGAGTACCAGTATCAGCTGGGTTGTTTTCAGTATCTACGTGATACCATTCGTCGACAGTGGTAACTTCCAGTATTTCGCCTACTCGATTAGCGACGAATACTGGCTGCTTTGCAGTCGAATGGAGCCATTGTAGCACAGTGGTGCTGTTAGTCCACATAAAGACATCATTTTTAGGGATCGAAAGTGCTTTCATGATATCTATTTTGAGGCGTGTAGCAAGCAAAGAAGCTTGCAGCTCTAATTTTGGGATGGAAATAGCCTTCATTGGTGCTACGCGGGCTTTACCCAAAACGAAGGCGAGTTTTGTCTCATGTGTATCAATAATGCGCGCACGGAGAAATCCAACTGCACAGAAGACTTCCTGTGAACTGTCACCAAACATATGGAGTTCAATTTTGTCAACTGCGGATGGAAAGTAGCATCTCGGTATGATCAGTTGACCCAGGATGGGTAGACCAGACCGCCATTTGAGGAATTTGGTATTCAAGTCCAAAGGAAGTGGGTTATCTCATTGTTGACCACTGATTCTCCAAATCTCTTTAAGAAGTAGTCGGGCTCTGGCAGTGTACGGAGCGACTAACCCAATAGGGTCGAAAACTGAAGAGACAAAACTTAGAACTGTACGTTGGCTAACAGTATCCTTCAGTTCTCTGTTTACACCTCGACTAACTACCAATGTATCGAGAACGTGATCCCATTTCAAACCTAGAACATGCGATTCTTGACCTTCA